CGTCACCACACATTCCGAGCACAAGTTCAAGGCCACAAGGCCAGTTCACATGCAGGATTACATATATATATAAGGCTAAACAAGCAAGAGCAGGTGTATATATATATGTAACAGTACAAACAAGGTCAAGGGGTGAGCAAGTGAGGCAAGGTAGGCACAAGACCCAGCTGAGTACAGAAGCGCTGATGATCACAAGGCGCAAGTGCCTTGGTGAAGATATCAGCAGTGTTGGCCTGAGAGGCCACGTACGCAAGGCGTAGCTGACCACGCTGCTGTAGCTCACGAGCAAGGAAGTAGCGAAGAGCAATGTGCTTCGTTCTGTGCTCCAGTCTCTGCTCCCGACACAAGGCCAGCATGGCCTTGTTGTCTACGTACAGCACTGGAGGAGAACGAGGCGGCTCTCCGAGGTCAGTCAGCAGGTAGGTGAGCCAGCAAAGCTCCTGTGCAGCCATGGCCCCTGCGTAGATCTCAGCCTCACAACTGGAGCCGAGAACAGAAGACGAGCGGGTAGCCCGCCACGAGACAGAGCCGGAACCAAGGCTGAAGGTGTAACCCTGTGACGACCGCTGCGTAGCCTGGTCGTCAGCCCAAGAAGCGTCTGCGTGCCCAGTGAGGACCACTGGACTCTGCCCTCCAAGCACAAGCCCCATGCCCGACGTACTGCACAAGTAGCGCAACACCCTCTTCGCTGCAGCCATGTGCTCTGGTCGGTGTCTCCAAGGAGCAACATAGCGTGCCAAGATGCTAAGAGGGTATGCAAGGTCAGGTCGTGTGCAGGTCATCAGGTACATGAGGCAGCCAACAAGCTCTGGGTACGGGCCACTCGGCTCCACGGACTCATCCGAAGGCAGAGCTGAGAGCGAGTGGCGAGTAGACAGAGGAGTGGCCTGAGGCGAGGAGTACGTGAAGTCGAAGCGCTGAAGGACCTGCTGCACCATGTGTGACTGAGTCAGGGTAATGGTGCGGCGTGCTCTGTCCCGGGTGATCTGCAAGCCAAGGTAGCTGCGCAGTTCACCCAGGTCTGTGCACGTGTGTCTCTTTTGCAGCTCAGACTTCACGTGGGCGAGTCCAGCAGTGTCAGCTGTGGCAAAGACCAAGTCGTCGACGTACACGAGGATGTAGAATGGCGGCAAAGAAGTGTCGGTGCGCAGAAACAGCGACGGGTCGGCAGTAGAGGGAGCAAACCCAAGAGCCGCAAGCGTAGTCCTCAGTGTGTCGTGCCACTCACGCGGTGCCTGGCGGAGACCGTAGACTGGCCGCCGGAGGCTCCACTGGGTGCCAGGAGGAAAAGTCCCAGTGAAGCCAAGTGGGCGGCGCAGCCAGATCTCCTCGTGCAGGCTGCCCTGCAAGAAAGCAGTGCTGAAGTCAAGAGAGTGTAGCTCGTAGTCACGGTGAGCAGCTATGTGCAGCAGTACCCGAAGAGTGGTCATCTTCGGGGTGGGAGAGAAGGTCTGAAAGTAGTCAACTCCCTGCCGCTGACTGAAGCCACGAGCCACGTAACGCGCCTTGAAGACAGGCGGAGAACCCGGCGGCCGCTTCACCCTGAAAATCCACATGCCACTGACGATGTTCGCCCCAGGCGGGGGAACCTCGTCAACGTAGGTGCCTGTGGACTTCCAGGATGCCATCTCTGCGTCCATAGCTGCCTGCCACTGAGAGGAGTAGGGACCCTCTATCGCCTCCGCGTAAGAGCGCGGAGTCGGGATGTCAAGTGCATCCGGGTCTCCCTCAGGGGTAAGCAGTACGGACACGAGATGAGGTGAAGCAGCAGCCAAACACTGGAACTCCTCCTGTCTCTCCTCAAGGACGTCCGTGCCAAGGGCACACTCACCCCCGACGGACGGAGGACAGACAGACTCAGACGCAGCAACAAGACAAGCAGCGTAGTCTAGACGACAGCGAGCAGCAAAGCCGACGAGCTCAGCAACTAGGGCAGACGCAGCAGTGGACTCAAAGGAAGGGTCAGTGACAACAGTAGTAAGGAGACGCGTGACAGTCGGACTGGCAGCACGAAGGGAGTCCGACTCCGGGTCAGCAAGAGCAGGATGAGAGGACTCAGGAGGAGAAGGCAAAGGGGCACGCAGAGGAGCAGTGGACGGACGGAGAGACATCCGGTGCGTGCCGGGCACAGGGGGAGGACGCTGACGCGAACCACGACCACTAGCGCGAGCAGCACGGACAGGCGACGCAGGACGAGACGCAGGCTCACGACGCTCAGCAAGACCTCCAGTAGGACCAGTGTAGGGAGAAGGAGCAGGCAGTGGGGAGGCCGGCTGTAACTGTAACTGTGACGGGACAGGCTGTGGACACTCTAAGGGAGGATGAGGACCAGTAGAAGGCGGGAGACCAAGAACCTGCTCAAGAAGCGGAACGAAGTACGGCCGAGGCCGCGCAGCGACTCCAGACACAGCAGGGACAGCACCAGTACCCCCAGTGGTAGCACCAGCGCCAGCAGCACCTCCAGCTCCAGTACCCCCAACAGCACCAGTAGCACCCCCAGCAGGACCGCCTCCAGTACCGCCAGCAGTACCCTCAGCGCCAACACCCTCAGCAGCTCCAGCTCCAGTAGTACCCGCAGGCCCAGCAGCTCCAGTACTCCCACTACGAGCACCTCCGGGACCCGTGGCACCAGCACCCTCAGCAGACGAAGAACCTCCAGCTCCAGCAGCACGCCTCCAGCGCCGGGCAAACCACTCACGCACCTCCTGTGGAGAGAGTGGCTCCCGTCGGGACGGAGCACCCAGAGAACCTCCAGGCCCAGCACCGCCAGACGCCACACGAGCAGGCCCAGCTCCCTCAGGCTCCGCACCCCCAGGCTCAGCACCTCCAGGCGTAGCACCCCCAGGCTCAGCACCCCCAGTCGTAGCACCCCCAGGCTCAGCACCCCCAGACTCAGCACCCCCAGGCTCAGCACCCCCAGTCGTAGCACCCTCAGGCTCAGCACCCCCAGGCTCAGCACCCCCAGGCGTAGCACCCACACGCTCAGCACCCCCAGAGTCAGCACCCCCAGGCTCAGCACCCCCAGCAGCACCAGAGTCACCAGCGACCTCCACAGGCTCGACTGCGTCTACCTGGGACACACCTGAAGGGGCAGGACCCTGAGGGGGAAGGGGGTCTACCGGGGGGGGGACTTGGCACAAGGAAGAGCGGAGGCGGGGGGAGGGACGGAGTGCGGTAGGGGAAGAGACGGTAGTAGGGGACCGACTCGTCAAACGTGACGTCCTGGGAGGACAAGACACGGCGAGAGGTGGGGTGGTAGAACTGCCACCCTGGCGCGTCAGGGGGGAAGCCAAGGAAGACGCAGGGAGCAGCACGAGAGGAACAGCTTGTCCGCAGACAAGTCGTGGACAAACGCCCGAGATCCCCAGACACGGAACGCAGACGCATCGCCAACCTTCCCCGTCCACAGCAAAGCTGGGGAGGTCTCCGGCATGGAGGCCCTGGGCTGAAGGTTGATCTGATGCGCCGCGTACCGAACCGCAAACGGCCACAGAAAATGGGGGGCAGCCGCATGCATCATGGACGTACGGGCGACGTCCATGACCATGCCAATGCGGCGCTCAGCAATCCCATTTTGCTGTGGAGAGTCCGGAAGCGTGAAGGTCTGGCGGACGCCTCGTGCACGACAGTAGGCTCGCAGAAGGCCAGAGGAGAACTCTCCGCCTCTGTCAGAGTGCAGACGCAGAACAGGAAAGTCCGAGCCGAAACTCTCTCTGAGCTGGAGACGAGCTGCGCGGATCCAGTTGATCAACACCTCAGTGACATCACCCTTGCTGCGCAAGGGGAAGACTGTGGTGTAACGCGAGTAGTCGTCAACCACCAGTAGGAAGTAGCGCTCGTGACCCTGTCCACGGACGCGGGCCGGGCCCCACACGTCCATGTGAAGCGTCTGCAGCAGGACCTCTGTCGGAGGAAACTGGGAGGAGTGAGGGGCAGCACGCTGCCGCCCCTCGACACAGGGGACGCAGGTAGGGGCAGGCCCCGGAGGAAGGGGAGGGAGAGAGCGGGGAAGACCAGAGACAAGTACACGGGAGGCCATGCCTCGGAGACGAGGCAGGGAGGGGTGACCAAGGCGGTGGTGCCAGAGGAGAGTCACGTGAGACAGGAGGCGACACGAGCAGGGGGCAGACTCAGGACCAAACCTGGACGCTGCAGCAAACACCTGACCCGACGCACTGCCTGACCAGACGCAGTGACTGGAGGAGACTCAGTGGTCAGTGTGTACAGGCTCGACCCGGCCGACGTGTAAACGTGGCCAAGTGTCGGCCAGTCCGAGTGTCCGTGCAGTGGGTCACACGCTGGCTCGCAGGAGTGAACTGGTGAACCCCCGCATCCTGTAGGTCAGCACCACTCACCAAGTTCGTAGAGAACGAGGGGAGGTAAAGACCAGACAGGGTGCCAGAGGGGGCCGCCGGACACGGGAGGACAGTGGAGAAGTGAGCAAGGACAGGACCCATAGAGGGGTCTGCCAGAGAGACTGCAACTGGCCGACCAAGCGGCGTGAGTGTGGTGCGGTCTCGAAAGAAGGAGCGGAGAAGCCCCCGAGTCAAGAGTGAAGGTGTGGGAGGCCGGAGCCAACGCAGTACCTGAGAGAGCAGACTCACCAGCACCTGAGGAAGCAGACGCACGAGCACCTAGAGCAGCAGCCTCGCTAGCACCTAGAGCAGCAGCCTCACCAGTACCTGTCACGAGACGAACTTAGCTAGGAACGGGGTTTAATTAAGGGCCTAGGCTTAGAAGCCTAGGCCAAGCGGGTGTCGAGGGAGTTGTGCCAAGGGAGAATCGAGAATGTGTTGAGGTTCACTATAGCACACGAGTACATATAGCAACCTAACAAAGATGAAAGAGGTGCACCACCATACAAGGGAATTACACAACAGCTACACTACAGGCAGATTATACTAAATAGATATAAATCTATTGTGACACACCCCCTATCTGCCTGAAGTGCATAACCATGTGCAGAGCCCCCCTTGAAGGGGTACACCTGTAAAACCCCATTACAGGGCGTGGGAACACCAGTAAGGGGCCCCCTCTGAAGCTGACAAGCAGCAACCACCAAGCAGCATCTGAACCACCGCGGTGGAACAGGTGCCCGGTTGCGGTTGAACGCCCCGCAGCTGGTGCACGGTGTGCGAGGAGCACGGGTACGGGTAGCGGGTTTGGGTAGCAACTAGGAGCTGGACGGGACGGGCCGCATGGGGGTGACGAGCAGCACGAGACCGGGCAGCACAGACCGGGTGGGGCACGAGCGAGAACTGACAGCACGGGTGGGGCACCAACGGGTACGGACAGCACGGGTAGGGCACAAACGGGCAGAACGGGGCAGCACGGGCAGAACAGGGCAACACGGGCAGAACGGGGCAGCACACGGGCTGAACGGGGCAACACGGGCAGAACAGGGCAGAACACGGGCTGAACGGGGCAAGACACGGGCTGAACGGGGCAACACGGGCAGAACAGGGCAGAACACGGGCTGAACGGGGCAGGACACGGGCTGAACAAGGCAACACGGGCAGAACAGGGCAACACGGGCTGAACGGGGCAACACGGGCAGAACGGGGCAGGACACGGGCAGAACAGGCAGCACGGGCAGAACGGGGGACACTGGGCGCGGGTAGAACACGGGCAGCAACTGGAGACACGGGTGGGCACGGGCAGTATGGCACGGGAACGGGCAGCAACACGGGCAGGATCACAGGCAGAATCACGGGCAAAATCACGGGCGACAACACGGGCAGAATCACGGGCAGAATCACAGTCAGGATCACGGGCAGAACACGGGCAAAATACGGGCAGCACACGGGTATGATCACGGGCACAATCACGGGCAGCAGTACGGGCAGAATCACGGGCAGGATCACGGGCAGAACACGGGCAGGAAATGGGCAGAACACGGGTATTATCATGGGCACAGGCTGAACGGGGCAACACGGGAAGAACGGGGCAGGACACGGGCTGAACGGGGTAACACGGGGAGAGCCGGGCAGCACGGGAACACGGGGGGCAGCACGGGAGCACGGGGGCAACACGGGAACACGGGGGCAGCAGAAAGGGAACACGGGGGCAACACGGGAATGGGCACGGGGCAAGCACGGCGAACACGGGCGGACAGCACGTGCATGGGCACGGGGCAAGCACGGGGCGAACAGGAGCACGGGAAGCACGGGGCAGCACGGGACGAATGAGAGCACGGAGCGCACGGGACGAACGAGAGCACGGAACGCACGGGACGAACGGGAGAACGGGAGCACGGGAGCACGGGAACGACGGGGTAGCAGCACGGGAGACACGGGGCGGGGGGATGACAGGAGGAGGAGTGGTGGCAGTTGCTGCAGCTGGAACATCCACCCACACCCCCTAAACCTCCCCCTTACATGAGCCGCCAACTCCGCCACTCCCCCTACCCCAGCCGTCCCCCACGGGCCAACACCCCACCTCCTCCCCCTCCTGCTGGAAATGGGGACGGAGATGGAGGTGGGATGGCATTTGTCGGTGGGGGGTCGGGATCTGGGGCAGAACGGCGGTCTGGGTGCAGGTACGGGGTGCGGACGGGTCTCGCGGACAGGAGCACGGACGTTGTGCGTGGTGCGGGTTGCGTACGGGCGACGGGCGGGGTGCGGGGCGCGGGTGGCGTACGAGCGGCAAGTGAGGTGCGGGGCGCGGGTCGCGGACGATCTGTAGCGTGCAGTGGCGGAGCAGCAGCTTCTCCCGCCACTCCCGCCACGCCCGCCATTCCCGCCACTCCCTTCACAGTAGCCGCGAAGTCGACGGGAGGGCGGGCAGGGACGGAACGGGACGAGACGAAACGCGGGCAAGCGCTGGTGCTCAAATGACGGTCGCCACCCTTTTCCCCCTCTCCTCTCCCCCCCCCATCGCGACCGTCGACGTTTCCGCGACAGTGAGCCGCGACGAGGCAGCGTGACGGGGAAGGGCGACGGGGAAGGAAGCGGCGGTTCGAGAGGCCGACGGGGGGCAAGAGCAGCGGCGCGAAACAGCGGGTCGACGAACGCCGTCACTCCCGCCGCGACCGTCGTGTCCGTCACGACTACCGTGACGGATTTTGCTACGGGCGAGCGACGGGGAAGGACGGGACGCGCCATCACGATAACTAACGGTGGGCCCTTTAAAAAATAGGTCGGGAACGACCTAGCTCAATACCAGTGCGGGGGGGTGTCAGAGGTCCATTGGTGATCCCCGATTGATCCTAGGGAAGGGTTACAGGCATGTTGGCCTGGGGGGTTATGGGCGCACTGACCCGCTACTTAACAAGCCCTTTTATCCCAATGGTCTAGTGACTGGGATTCTGACATGTTATCAGAGCGAAGGTCTCGGGTTCGAATCCCAGTGTGTGCACTTCGGGCATCCCAGTGCGGGGGGGTGTTAGAGGTCCACTGGTGATCCCCGATTGATCCTAGGGAAGGGTTACAGGCTCGTTGTCCTGGGGGGTTATGGGCGCACTGACCCGCTACTTAACAAGCCCTTTTATCCCAGTGGTTAGTGGCTGGGATTCTGACATGTTATCAGAGCGAAGGTCTCGGGTTCGAATCCCAGTGTGTGCACTTCGGGCATCTCAGTGCGGGGGGGTGTCAGAGGTCCAATGGTGATCCCCGATTGATCCTAGGGAAGGGTTACAGGCACGTTGACCTGGGGGGTTATGGGCGCACTCACCCGCTACACAAACAAGCCCTTTTATCCCAATGGTCTAGTGGTTGGGATTCTGACAGTACCTAGAGCTGCAGTCCCAATGCCCGGGTCGGGCGGAAAACACCAGTAACAGTCACCCTCATCACTAATAGTCACAGCATACATGGCAGCAAGAATAGCATCAAAGTCAAGGTCAAAGATAGCTACTCCCGCCCTAGACAGCTCACCCCAGCGAGGGATCTCAGTGGCCTCAGGGAACTGGTGACGCCAAGCGTCCGTCAGGCGGCCAAAGCAGCGCTGGGTGGAGTGCGCACCTCCGCACGGCTCACCCGCGCGGTCGCCAGTGCGTAGGACGTAGGTGCACGGACCAGTACCCCCACCGCGCTGGCGTGCAGCGTACCACTCACGAAGCTGCTGAGGGGGGGGGATCTCACGAGTGCGCTGCTGCTGCTGCTGGCGCTGACCACCACCGGAGCCGACCCTCTGCGCAGCGCCACCCCGACCAGCTCCACCTCCTCCGCCGCCGCCTCCTCCACCGCCGCCACCTCAGCCACCTCCGCTCCCACCGCCACCGCCGCCGCCGCCTCCGCCTCCACTGCCGCCACCGACGCCCCCACCCCCGCCACCACCCCCACCGCCACCCCCACCCCCTCCGCCGCCTCCACCGCCGCCTCCACCGCCCCCGCTAGCTCCTCCAGCGCCCTCTGCCCCCCTTGCCCTTGCCAGTGCGGCGTCTCCCGCTAGGGGCAGACGCCGCACCGACCGACTCAAGACCAACGAGGTCGGCCGCAGCAGCAGAGGCAACAGAGGGCAAGAGAGGAGAGGGGGAGCACCCCTCAAAGACAGGGGCACGAGGGTCACCACGAGAGGCTCCTACAGCGACTATGCTCTTCTCTGCTGCTAGGAGGCGCTCCTCGAGGAGATCAACGGTGAGGGTGGTGGGGCAAACAGAGAGAAAGTGGTCCCTGACTGGGCGAAGGGTGTCAGGGAGCCGGGTGACTACGTAGTAGAGGGTGATGTACATAGGGGGGGGGTTCTTGGCGCAGAACTCAGGAGGAAGGGCAGCGCGGTAGCGAGTGTCACTAGTGCGCAGGTGCGTAATGAGGTCAGCGACTGTGGGAAAAGCGGCGAGGTCAGGGAAGAGGTACGGCAGGATGAGGCGGCTAAGTGCAGCAGTGGCAGGGGAAGAGTAGCGTGCAACTACAGCGTCGTACAAGGTCTTAACACTCTTGTACTGACTAAAGTGTGCACGCTCAGCGGTAGGCAAGTGGCGGCGCACAGCAAGACGGGCAGCAGCGTCGCGTGTGGCCCACTGTGAGCGAACAGTGGCGTCAGCATCAGCAGCAGGGGCAGAAGAGGCACCAGAAGTGAGGTCAAAGAGAGAGAGACCGTCTGCCCTGTCGCACTGTAGGAAAAGCTGCAGGTCATCTACCCAGACGTCAAAGTCAATGGCCCGACCCTCAGCGTCAAAAGCGAGGACACTGGGGGTATCCATGACAGCAGTAGACTAGCAGCTGGAGCAGTAGGGTAAGGGCAGCGCAGTGGTAGAGGTGCCGCTCTTACCGGACAGGGTGGCTCGGGCGGCTCGGCAGCAACTGCAGCTCGGCGGCTCGGCGACTCGGCGGCTCGGGCGGCTCGGGCGGCTCGGCGGCACGGCGGCTCGGCAGCAACTGGAGCTCGGCGGCTCGGCGACTCGGCGGCTCGGGCGGCTCAGGTGGCTCGGCGGCTCGGGCGGCTCGGGTGGCTCGGGCGGCTCGGCAGCAGCGGCGGCTCGGTAGATCGGCGGCTCAGCGGCGCCGGCGGCTCGGTGGTGACGGCGGGGCCGCGTGGGGACGGCGGCGGGGCCGGGTGGGGCGGCGACGAGGCCGCTGAGGGCGGCGGCGAGGCCACGAAGGGTGGCGACCGGCGACTTAAGGGTGGGGCCGCGGGGTCGCAAGGGTGGGGCGACGGGGCCAGCAGAGGCGGCGCCGGGGCCGGGAAGGGCGGCGCCGGGGCCGGGAAGGGCGGCGCCGGGGCCGGGAAGGGTGGCGCCGGGGCCACAAGGGTAGGCGACGGGGCCGCGAGGGCGGCGTGGAGGGGTCGCGAGGGCGGCTCGAGGAGGCCGCGAGGGCGGCGCGAAAGGGCCGCGAGGGCGGCGCGAAAGGGCCGCGAGGGCGGCGCGACGCAACGGGACCGCGAGGGCGACGCGACGGGGTCGCAAGGGCGACGCGACGGGGCCGCTAGGGAGGCGCGACGCGACGGGGCCGCTGAGGCGGCGCGACGGGGTCGTAAGGGCGGCGCGACGGGGCCGTGAGAGGGGAGCGCGACTCGGGCAGAGGCTGAGCGCGCTCCGGGCAGGAAAAAAAAGTTGGTGGGCCCTAGGAACAGTTCCCACAGGGGAACCTGCTCTATACCATGTGATAATGAACGAGGAATGAAAAGACTAAGGGAAAGTTGGGTACAAGTACAAACCCTAGAAGTGCTACCCCACTATAGCCTACAGCAGCTAAGTCATATAAAGCTGACAAGTCGATCATGCACAGTCGTGATTAATACTGACTTGCCAACGCTAGCACCACCACTTACTAAAATACATAGAGGTCCCATTTCAAAGGACCTGCGAACTCCACGTACAATATGATCGGCTATCGCTCGTTGCTCGGCGTTCAGCATACGCTCCATACGCAAATAATCACTTTCGTTTGTTGTTATCGAACGAAAGATATCTGTCGATCTCGGTCGTGAAGATCTTTCGATTCCAAGTTCTACACCAATATCTACATCTTCATGAGGTTGTGAAGTTTCACATGATGTATTAATGTCATCGTTTTCCTCTACTATTGCATCTTCAAATGCATGTGCCCACTTATCACCTTTGACTGAAAATTCTTCACGCTTAGAAGCGATCAAAGTTTCATAATTACAAAAAATACGAGCAACTTCGACTGGATCATGAATTTCTTTTCGACATGGAACAAACAACAATGTTTGTTCGCGCATGAAATTTTCTATGTCAACATCACGATGAAAATTGACATATCGAATTATCTTTCGTTTGGATCTTTTCGAATAAAAGCGTTTTTTACTCGATAAATCTGGTCCAATCGCATCTTTTTGCTCAATGCTCTGCTCAAAATCTGAAATAAACTCTGCGAAACACAAGCCTTCCATTGATTTTGGTCGTTGTAAGTATCGATCCAATAACGCATACGGTGTAAAGATATCGGTTGAGATAGGGTCTAAAGCTTCCAATTCAGCCTTTGATTTTAGTAGCAACAAACGTTTGTGAGGATGACTTGTGTTGATGAATATTACACCACGACTCGATTTTTTATAAGGAAGACCCAAAATAAGATAAATTGCTTCTTGTGCACTAATTTCTTGGTTGTTCAATATGAAATTTCCAATATCTCGAATTACATACAGCACGCCTGTACCTTGTACAGCGGCAAACTTTTTAGCATTTTGTATAATTTTACTCATTCCTTTGCCAGATTTTGTCATATATGCTGTAATGTATGTGGCCACGCCATACGGATCGATACATAATTGAATATCCATATTTCCTTGCCATACTGACAAGATTGTTTTGTTAAAATTGTTCACAAAACAATATTTCACGTCTCTTGCATGAAATAGTGTGCGCCGTTTTAAACCAACTCTTAAACAATTTATATATTCGTCGTATGACAGACGTAATGTATTTAGAAATTCTGAAAACGACAGCTCACACGTATCAATTAGATGTTTCTTTGCAAGAACATCTAAAAAATCATCAACTGCCTTTTTGTTGGATCGGTGCACATCTTGATCAATATCCGATTCGCCACTTTTATTAAGCGGTGCTAAGACCAATGTATTCGGAAGAGGAAATTTTGGTATCCCAAAACGACATACTCGTGAAGTTCCGCTCCGTTTCATTCTACACGTTCGGGTGTGAGAATGAGTTTGTATTTTCAAAAGATCCTTTGTTGTAGGGTCTTTTGCAAGATCTTGGCCATGACATGATATGTGCCTATCGGCAAACGCTAAGATATTCTCGAGTGGAATTGTGGCATCGCACGCGGAAAACTCACTCCATATTAAACAATGAGAATGAGGAGCACCTCGATGTTGAAACTCGTCAAGAACAAAATAATCCAATACGTTGCCTAAAATTTCTCGAAAAAGTGCATTTTTTCGTTCAACATAATATAGCGCACTAACTACAGGATATGTACGTACTAACATTGCTATATTTTCGAAGTCTAACGGGAGATTCATGGTTGTGTTGGCAAGGTTGGCAAGGTTCTGAGAAGAAACGAGGAATGAAATGACTAAGTGAAAGTTGGGTACAAGAAGCAAACCCTAGAAAACTGTACCCCATATGTGCTACCCCACTATAGCCTACAGTAGTTATGTCATATAAATCTGACACACCCCCATAGGCAAAGTGGGGGAGAACAAGGGGTCACAAGACCAGTCAAGCAAAGCAAAG